TCTCTCTCTCTCTCTCTCTCTCTCTCTCTCTCGTTCATTATATTCATTATGTCCAGGGAATGCTCCAGCGCATGCTATGCCGTTTATCCTTTTCAGTTTTTGCCCTTGTTCTAAAAGCAATATCATATAATTCGATCTAATGTACTGGTTCATGATATGAAAGCAGTGGTGATGGCATTAACAATGGATGGTTGCGCCAGTTTAACGCTGAATGTTTGCAGTTCAATTAACACGTTATAACAATAACTTCCTATAAAATAACGTATTATAATACAGGGAGGTGCAAAAGTTAATAGTAGCCAGTATCACATCATTGGTATAATTAATTAATTACTATACAAGAATATTAAATATGTTTTGCTTTTTGGGGTAGATCTATATTTTCCGTGTCGTTATTCACATTTTTTTTATAATAACAAATTTAATGTGCTTATACTTATAACTTCAATTAAGAAATTAAGTATTGTAACAATGATGTGATAGGCTTCTGGCTGTAAACCTACTTTTGCGCCCCCCCCCCCTTTATAATACTGTATATTATTCTTAACGAAGCATGCTTAGTATACGATGGATGAAGGGTGGTGGTCCTGTATATTTTGTATCTGTTGCAATTATTAATTGTAGTTAGTATCGACGAGTTGTGTGGAAACAAGGTTAGACTGCTTAAAGTTGCCTGAAGTGTCAGGTTTTCTTCTAGAATTGTGCATGTTTGCTATACGTTTGTCTCATACGAGTGCGGCTGTGTTTTTCTCTTGATGGATTTGATTGTTTGTTTGTCTGTATGTCCCTTTAAATGAGTCGTTGTGACTGGCTGTATTCTACACGTCAAGGACATCTACAGTGGGTGGTTGGCATGTGCTGTGGCTGTGGTATGGTTTGCTCCTCGTTTCTTATCAAACATTATGTTGTCTTTATCACTCCTTCTTTTTTGTGTTTTTGTTTCTCTCTTGTAACGCTTCTGATCTTCGGCTCTTACATAACCTAAATCTGGTGCAAGTGCCGTAAAATGCTTACAAAAACAGAGCAAGTTCGGCTGAACATAGGTATGAGAAGTTGTGCCTGGTTACAGCACAGTTACGCTCCATCGTCACAGGCGAGGGCGAAGAGGAAGGGGAAAAGGCCGTGTCGGATGTAGCGGAAGAATGGGATGAAGTGGAGAAGTCGGTAGCGGATGCAGAAACATCTGCAGACGAGAATCGAGAAAATGAAAAAGTTGAAGCCCAAGACTTGAAACAGAAGCTGACTGTATCTTACGTCGATGAGACTGAGGTCCAAGATGACAGTGGTAAACTGTTTGAGGATCGTTAATGGTTTTTGGTTGTTGAGCTGGCGTTTTTGCTGGATTGTTGTTGTTTGTTTTTTATCTTTATTTTAAGGAGTTTTTACCAGTGTTGCTTTGTTTTCGAATTCCTCCCCTATCGATCTATCTATCTATCTATCTATCTATCTATCGATCTATCGATCTATCTATCTATCTGTCGTTCCTTCTCTCTCCCTGTCTCCTTCTCTATCTTTCTCTCTCTCTCTCTCTCTCTCTCTCTCTC